CTTGTCTTCTGACAGCAAGCATGAAGCTATGGCAGGCTAAACTGCTTGTTTGCAATTAGGGTAAAAATGTCAGACTCTTCACAGTTCTTGACAATAAGCATCTGTTCCCACCTTATTACTATATATTTTAGGACCTGTCTTAGTAAATTATGGCGGACAGTAGCAGATTCCACCGTCCACTCACAGTCTGGGTACTATCAAAGTGTGACAATTCACAGAAAGAGTGTTCACTCTGGTCTTGTACTAACATAAACTGTGTGAATATTATTATTACAGTGTCTAAAGAACAGAATGTAAATAGTAAAGTAGCAAAGACATGGAGCAATATAACCAGATCACTTGCTTTTTCTTTCCCTCTACTTCCATTTAGGTGAAGTAAAAATACATTATAGGATTGAATTACAGAAATGCTTACGTATATACTTTATTAAAATGTTTATAACAGCATATTTTAAGCTCATAAATATAGAAGTACATATTATAGACGGGCTATTCACATGAATATTTCCTTTACTAGAAACATGTAAAATAGTTATATATTTTGGTTAAAAATAAGTTAATATAAAGAAAGCCTAAAAGCTACCTTTAGTCTAGCACATAAAGAAACACTAGATTGGTGATCCAGATGCAGCAATTTATCTGGCCAAATACCTCAGCAAATCTTTTGACATTTATTCTCTAATTTTCATCCTTTTCTTCCATCCTTCTCTTCGTATGTCTTCAACTCTAAGAAAGATTAATAAATTTGGTCTAGTCTTCACTTTTATTGACTATGTCTCATGCGTATTCTAAAGGGTGGGCAATAAGCAGCAACTAAGTTTCAGGAACTTCTTCCTACTGGAATTCTGATTACTTCCATATTTCTCAACATGATAAATCCAACACCACCCAGAATCTTACTGAACTCTTCCCTTCTGTAATAGTTTCCTAGAGTTGTCGTAACAAAGTGCCACACACTGGGTACTTTATTTCTCATCTCACAGTTGTGAATCCTACAAGTCCAAAATCAAGGTGTCACCAGGGCCCTCCTCCCTCTAAAGCTTTTACAAGAATTCTTCCTTACCTCATTCTAGCTTCTGGTGGTTTCCCTTCCTTGGCTTGTAGCTGCATCACTTCAATCCTTTGTCTTCATATGGTGTTCCCCTCTGTCTTCATGTGGTCTTATAAGGACACCTGTCATGTCTTATCTGATTACATTCACAATAATCCCATTTCCAAACATCACATTCTGAGGTATTGAGGGTTAGCACTCGAACCTATCTTTTTTATTGTTTTCACATTTAAAAAATTTTTGTCTTTTTTTTTTAAGTTCAGGGGTACATGTGCAGGATGTGCAGGTTTGTTACACAGGTAAATGTGTGCCATGGTGGTTTGCTGCACAGGTCATCCCATCACCTAGGTAGTAAGACCAGCATCCATTAACTGTTCTTCCTGATGTCCTCCCTCTTCCGCCTCCACCCTTTGCCAGGCCCTGGTGTGTGTTGTTCCCCTCCATGTGTCCATGTGCTCTCATCATTTAGATCCCACTTATAAGTGAGAACATGCGGTGTTTGGTTTTCTGTTCCTGCATTAATTTGCTGAGGATAATGACCTCCAGCTCCAACCATATTCCCTCAAAAGACATATCTTTCAAATCAATGTCTTCTCTCCCTCATCAGCCACTCTGCCCACTCAACTCTTCTCTCCTCCCACACGCATCTGTCCCATTCCCATCATTTCTACCTTTAACCCTCATCAACTCTACTAAAACAGTCTCTTAAACTATTTGGTCTCCTTGACTCTGGTTTCAACTGCCCATTTCAAAATCATTCATGCTAACACCCAGATGATCTTATTAAGATGGAAATCTAATCATGTTATACTACCATCACTACTACCACCATCCCTTGCCAATCCCCCAAGGGCAAACATGCCTTAAAACTCTACAGTGGTTTATAGGAGAAACTGATAGAAAGCACCTAGCTTCACTAATATATGTGTTTTTTTCTCTTTATTACACCCAAGGTTCTCAAAGTCAAACACCCTATCTCTTGTACCTCTAACACCTAATATGTTGCCTGGTTCATAGAAAATATTTATTGAATTAGATTTGTTTTATAGATTTCTAAAAGTAATACTCTAAAACTTTTGCTTGAAGGAACAGATCTTAAAATGTGCTTTCAGAGAGGCTAAAAGTAGTTAAAAAACAGAAAAAAGAGAAATAAAACATCACTGCTGGCTAAAAACATTATCAGAATAGCTTTAAAAATTTTTTGAAAAGCATTACTCACTGCACACCTATTAAAATGGCTCAATTAAAAAAATAAAAGAAAGCTGACAATACCAAGTACTAGTCAACATAAGGAGCAACTGGAACTCACACATAGCTGATGAGAATGAAAAGTGGTATAGTCACTCTGGAAAAGACTGGCAGCTTCTTATGAAATAAAACATACACTTAACATATGACACAGCTATTTTACTCCTATTTAATCTAGATAAATGAAAACTTATGCTCCCAAAAAAACCCTGTATAGGAAGGTTTATGGTAGCTTTATTCATAATCACTGAGAACTAAAAACCCAAATGTCCCTCAATGAATGAAAGAATGACAAACTCTGGCACATATAAACAATGAAATACTTGTCAGCAATAAAAAGGCACAGCAACACGTATACATTTCAAATGCATAATGCAAAAGAAGCCAGTCTCAAAAGGTTACATGCTATATGGATTTCATTTGTTGGACATTCTGGGAAAAAACAAAACTACAGGGAAAGAAAACAGGCCTGTGATTGCTGGGTTAAAGTTAAGGGTCAGGGAAAGATTTGACTACAAAGGAACAGCACCAGGGAAGTCTTTTGGGGTGATGGAACTGTTCTGGTGGTTTTTGCTGGTGGTTATGTGAATCCATAAATGTACTAAAATTCATAGGACCATACACCAAAAAATTTAATTTTATTGAATGTAAATGTAAAAATAAATGCATTACTTCCTAGGCATGAGAATAAGCTATGTTTCTTCTCCACCCCCCACATATTTTACCCCTAAACTTGAAAAAGACTATCTTATGTAGGATTTTATCCTGTGAGGAGAAAAGTGGAACAGGCTAAAATAATGGCTTTACGGTGGAAATTAAAGGAGTTTGCTAACACATTATGGGCATTTACCTTGAAAGACTGGATTATGAGATAATGATCTATAATATTAGAAAAAGGCAAAGGCAAAGAGGAACGAAAGAGTAGAGCAAATCGATCTTAAAATTAAGAAATGGATTGTCTCCCTAGTATTCACCTTCATTTTATAGTATCATGACATAATAATTATATCTTTATTTGATTTGGTTTTCTGTATGTTTCTGCTACACACAAAATGGTTTAAGAAGAAGTAATTTAATTTTAAGAAGATATAAACCTGTTTTTATTTCAGTATCTCAATTCTAGAATAAAAGACATTAATCATTTGGCTGCAGTTTTTGCATCAAAAGCTTTAATTGATGAAAAATGTCTTAAAACTTTGGTGGAATTTCACATTGAGGTTAAATCTAAAAAGAAGCGAATGTATTTGAGGAAATGATATTCAGCATATTTGGTATGTTGCACTCGTCTCTGCTTGCCTGTTTTTTTTCCTCACTGCCTACTCCCTTTCCACCTTTTATTGCTTTCCTCTCTTTCTTTCCTGCCACCCCAATCTGCCATGCCTTTTCCTCCTCAGTGTCTTCTTGAAATTTGCCACAAACCTAAATTACCTAACTGCCTTTAGAAATGACCACCTAGGCCTGGCGCTGTGGCTCAAGCTGTAATCCCAGCACTCTGGGAGGCCGAGACGGGCGGATCACGAGGTCAGGAGATCAAGACCATCCTGGTTAACACGGTGAAACCCCGTCTCTACTAAAAAAATACAAAAAAACTAGCCGGGCGAGGTGGCGGGCGCTTGTAGTCCCAGCTACTGGGGAGGCTGAGGCAGGAGAATGGCGTGAACCCGGCAGGCGGAGCTTGCAGTGAGCCAAGATCCGGCCGCTGCACTCCAGCCTGGGTGACAGAGCGAGACTCCGTCTCAAAAAAAAAAAAAAAAAAAAAGAAATGAACACACAAAAGGCCAGGCGCAGTGGCTCACATCTGTAATCCCAGTACTTTGGGAGGCCGAGGCAGGTGGATCACCTGAGGTCAGGAGTTCGAGACTAGCCTGGCCAACATTATGAAACCTCGTATCTACCAAAAAATACAAAAATAAGCCAGTCATGGTGGTCAGTGCCTGTAGTCCCAGATACTCAGGAGACTAATGCAATAGAATCGCTTGAAGCAGGGAAGTGGAGGTTGCAGTGAGTCAAGATCGCACCACTGCACTCCAGTCTGGGGGACAAGAGTGAGACTCTGTCTCAAAAAGAAAAAAAAAATAAACAAAAAGAAATGACCACACAAAATAGAATTCATTTCAGAGGCTGTGAATTAAAACATAGCTAATAGTCAAATATATTGTGATAGTTTCTCTAAAATATGACAATAGGGAATATAAGTAATCTAACAAGACATTTAATATATATTGAATTGAATGTAAAACAAACAATAATTTACATTTACTTTTCCAAAATAATATGTGTATCATTTAAATTATAACTTTTTTTATATACTTGACTACTAATAGTTACTTAGAATGCTGAGAGTTTAATAAAGTCAACAAACATTAATATTAATTGTTACAGAATAAAATATGGCCCTAAGTGGTCTGCGAATAATATTGGGGGGTCAAATTACTATGAATACTGTAGCTTACTAAATAAATAATTCAAATGTATACCTTGAATTCCAGACACTTAGTTGCCCAAGAAAAGAATAACTTGTCTATGTTAGGCCTTTATGCTGAGATTACTCACTTAGCAGAGTGATTCCAAAATTACTCTGATGAACTTCAGAACCCTCCAGTGTTGGAATGTGGGGGTACTAATTAATAAACTGTTGAGTTATAGGGCATTATTACTTCAGAATAGAATGTAAAAGAAAAGCTCAAAAAAGTTTCCAGACCTAAAAAGAAAGGTGTTTATTAAACTAGGGTATTTACAATAATATTTTAAATTATAACTTGTAAGTATAAATAAACTTAGGTCTTACAAATGTGAATTTTTGTGAGAAAAAAGTGGTATATTGTATTTTTTCCTAACATAAAAACCATTCCTTTAAGTAGTTCTCATTTAAGTTACAATAAATATTTTTCATGTAGAATAGATGACAATTGTGCCGTTAATATAATGTCATTTTCAGTTAAAATATGAAATTTGGAAAATATTATTTTCCTTATATCTGAGAAGAAAAATAAATTCTAGGTTCCTTGAATTAAGATATATTATTACATTAGAATTGTTATTATTCTTCAGTCTTTCCTGGAACTTGTTCAGTCTTGGGAAAATCTTCCTTGTACTTCTTCTTGAGGTTACTTAAATATATTCGTAAACTGTCTGGATCCAATTGAGAGTTTCGAGCAGTTTGAACAAGCCTAGTGGCTAGATGGTACACAGCTCTCTGTCTTTCCATCTCAGGGGTGCTCCTTTGGTTTTGCTGTCATTGAAAAAAAAAAAATATATATATATATGTGTGTGTGTGTGTGTGTGTGTGTGTATATATATATATAAATATCATAATTTTTATTTAAACCGCATGTTGGCAATATTCTATCTCCTTCCATAGACATATGGAACTCAAGGGTTAACTAATTCCTTTGAATAAATCAGTTTCCTCCAACAAGGAAAGAATATACAAGAAGAAATAAAAGAAATATTGTATTTGAAAGAATATAATTTCTTCTGAGTATTTGCTACTTTATCACAGATCTTATGTTCTTGAAAATTACTTGTCAATGAAAAAAGTTCTGCTAAATAGGTCAGATTTCTCAACATAATACCAAAAAGTAATAGAAAATCCACCAGATATAGGTTCTACAAACACTTTCTCATTAAAAAGGTGTGGGAGAACAGCATTGCTCATTGCCACTTTTAAATGATGCCAAAGAGTACTATTCTGATATCTCCTTACTTTAATTCCCCAACAGATAAACTGGCACACAGAATGAGTCATCAGAAAATTGCTTGCCCCTAAAGAGAGTACATATATAGAAACTGCTGGAGCCTAAGAGAAAATACTGCCTGAGGGGTAAATTACATTTTAAAAATAAATAATATGAATAGCTATTTAAAATTATGCCTTAATTTTTAATAAACTAAACTTCAGGATACCCAAGAAATAATATTTAAAACAGGAATGTAGAAGTTCTTTAGATACTTGGTCTTAAATTGAACTTCAGGACTGCAAATATACCTAGAAAATTCTCATTTCACCTCTTTGCCTGAACTAGATAGAGGAATCAGCATTTTTAAACTTAACTTTTTAATCTTAACTCTTAGCGAGTTTCCCTGAAATATAATCCCTTCAACTCATAATAGCAAGCAACTCCAGATTTTTTTTTACTTTTCACTATAGGAAAAATGAGTAAGATTTTATGAGGTAGAATAAGATTATCATATATTCACCCATCTATCTATTTGGTACACTGATCAGCTACCAATTAGTCTATTATTTTAAAAAAGTTATTGAATATCTACTACCATCTACGTTCCAGGCCTCTAAGCTTATGTTTATATATCTATGGGGGATACAAAAATGTAAACCTTACATGACAACAGAACTCAAGGAGCTTACAGTCTTAATGGTTAAAAAAAAAGGCTTGTTTATAAGTAACTGATTATGGTAATTATAAAAAGTTCCATAAAACAGCCACAAAATACTCAGAGGAAGGGAAACTCACTTCCAGCTCAGGCCAAGAAAAGCTTGAATAGGATGGAGTATTGGAATGAATCCTGATAGATAAAAGAGCTTAGATGAGAGGTTATTCCACAGAGGAAACAGTTAGAGCAGGTACATTGGAAAGCATGGTACACAATCAGGTCAATATGATGAAATGGCAAGTAATTCAATGTAGTAATGACAAGTAATTTAATTTACAAGATTGAAATTGCATAAATGTAGATTATGTGAAACTGAGTGATATAAATGTAAGCTTGGCGTAGAAAACAAAGGAAAATCATAAAGCAGAAGCCAACAAGGTTTACAATCACATAAAGACTGGTTAAGAAGGCAAATCCCTGAGCCACAGGAGATCCTTGACAATCTAGTATGGTACCCCGTATCTCAGGCAATTCTAATGCAGGTAATTCTAAAATATATTTTGAGAATTACAGAGGACTTTTTACACTAGACAAAGGAGTTCAACTTTACTTCGTAAGAAATCATTAAAAGTTTCTGAGTAGGCAAATTACATAATAAAAACCATGCATTAGGAGACAATCTGGTAGAAGTGTAAAAAATAGATTGAAAAAGAGAGAGAACTTACTGCATAGTCCTAAGGACAGGTGATTAAGAGGAAGGATCCATATATGACTTTGGTGGGTCACTGAGAGACTTAAAGGTGAAGAGATAAGAGAATTTTTTTTAGAAGATGATAAATTTAACTTTGGCTTTTAAACACAGATTAAGATATGAAGGGGAAATATGGAGAAAAATGTATAGATTCAGAGTTGAACAGAAATGATGATGGACGCTGTGAGAAAAGATGAGATCACCAAGTGCAGATTTTAAAAAGAAAGGAAACAAGGGCAAAAATCTTAGAAACTTTTAAGTGGAATAAAAACTTGTAAGTTTTAAGTGGAGTAAAAACTTTTAAGTGGAATAGAAACTTGTAAGTGGAATAAGAAAAAGTAATGATGATGAATAAGAAAAAGTAATGATGATGGCTGGGTGCAGTGGTTCATGCCTATAATCCCAGCACTTTGGGAGGAAGAGGTGGGCGGAATGCTTGAGCCCAGAAGTTTGTTCAAAAGCAGCCTGGGCAATATAGTGAGACCTTGTTTCAAAAAACAAAATAAAGAAAAGAAAAGAAAAAGTACTAGTGAAGAAGGAACAGAAGAAGTAATCAAACAGGTAGGAGAATGAAAACGTCCAGGAGAGAATAATTCCACATAGCCAAGAGAGGGCAGAATTAAGAAAAGAGAAAACAAGGGTAGTGTCAAGTGCCATAGAGAGATCATGGAAGATCAGAAGTGAAAAGAAGGACAAAGGATTTTATAATAAATTGGTATTTAAGAGAAAACTTGAGGTAGAGTGATGACAATAAGACTCAGTGTAAACATGAGAAATGAAAGAAGTAAACTTTTGATAAATTTGCAGTAAAAAGAAAATGAAATAATAGTTTCAAAAGTAAACAGGCAGAATTTTAGGGAGAAATCTAAGCATACTCATAGAGAAAGGAAAAGCCTGTGACTAAAATATTAAAGATGCAAAAGAGAATAAAGGAAACTGAGAAGTAATACCTTAGTGGAGATTTTTTTTTAAATGGTAGAAAAGTTAACCTTTTGTCTGAAAGTCAGTCTCTTCCTCTGAGATAAGATGGAAGAGAGATGGTAGAGAAACAGAAATATTCAAAACAAAATTTTGAAGGAGGGAAGGTTCAAGAACTCATCAAGATGACCTCAAATTTGTTAAAAAGTAGGAGGCATATTATCTGTAGAGAGTGAGGTGATTGACAGTTCAGGAAGAGTGAAACTGTTTCAAAAGAGTTATTGCAAAAGAAGCTAAATAATAAATAAAAAGAAGAAAAAAAAATACAATTCTCATCACATACCATGGCCTGTTGGGGGATGGGGGGTAAAGGGAGGGATAGCATTAGGACAAATATCTAACGCATGCAGGGCTTAAAACCTAGATGATGGGTTGATGGGTGCAGCAAACCACCATGGCACATGTATACCTATGTAGCAAACCTGCATGTTCTGCACTTGTATCCCAGAACTTGAAGTATATAATTAAACAAAAGAAAAAAAATACAGTTCTGGATATTAACAAAATGACAGAGTAAAAGCAATCTGCCTTTGCTCTCCCCACAGAGAATCAAAAGCAAATATCCAGAGCACAGATTAACACCAGCAACATCTGAGAAGCCAAATCTGAGGCTGAAATGATAACTGGGACACAGAGAAGTGAGAAACTCTGAGCAGACAATAACAAGAAAGAAAGCTCTCTATCTGCAATGCCCCTGCCCCAATCTGCCAGGCATTATGCACAGAAAATTCCTCCCAGTCTCATTTGTTCTACTCTGGCAAAAGTGAGATTGAGGTGAATAGCCAGCTTCCCCACCATCTTGGGTTCCTTTGCACAAAAATCATTCCTGCCTAAACCCACAGGAAGCACCACTAGTGAAAACCGCCTGAGGGCAGCTAGAGACAAAGAGGGGTGTGGAATTAGAAACTCCAGCCTGTAAAACTACTCTTCATTTCAGTCAAAGGACACACCAAATCAGTGTGGCTGTTCAGCAGCACCATGCTAGAGGAAGCAGATGCCACAGGTCATCCGGGTATAAACTCCTAGCCAGCCTTTCCACACAACTGAGGTATCCCCTCTAAGAACGCTACCATCTGAGATGGGCAGTACTGCAGACATTTGCCAGAGCTGAGGAAATTCTGGGCTTAAGGTGCCATCTAGTGCTGAAAAGGAGGCAACAATCTAAGATTAAGGGGAATCACAGACAATTGCAAAGAACTTCCAAGCAAACATACAACCTAGAAAGTCCAACAAGTGAGATAATGAAGATAAACTAATCCTTCATTGCAAAAACATAGATATGTGTCCACAAGGAACAACAGCAATCAGGAAACTACGACCTCCCCAAATGAACAAAGCAAGGAGCTGGTGATCAACACCGTGATGAGATGGTGATACGTGAGCTCTCAGATCAAGAATTCAAAATGGCAGTTTTAAGGAAATTAATGAACTCCAAAACAGCACAGAAAAAACAATTGATAAATTTATCAGAGAAATTTAATAAAGAGATTAAAGTTTGGCCGGGCACACTGGCTTACACCTGTAATCCCAATACTTTGGAAGGCCAAGGTGGGCAGATCATTTGAGGTCAGGAGTTTGAGACCAGCCTGGCCAACACGGTGAAACCCCATCTCTACCAAAAATAGAAAAATTAGCCAGGCATGGTGGTGTGCGCCTGTTATCCCAGCTACACAGGAGGCTGAGGCAGGAGAACTGCTTGAACCCAGGAGGCGGAGGTTGCAGTAAGCTGAGATAGCACCACTGCACTCCAGCCTGGGAGACATAACCAGACTCTGTCTGAAAACAACAACAACAACAAAAAGAAAAACAGATGAAAGTTTAAGAAAATCAAATGGCAAACAGATTTGAAACCCTGGAACTGAGAAATACATTTGTTGAACTGAAAAAAAGTACAGAGGCTCTCCAAAAAAGAGATGGATCACGCAGAAGAAAGAATCAGTGAGATGAGCCAGGCATGGTGGCTCATGACTATAATACCAGCACTTTGGGAGACTGAGGTAGTCAGATCACTTGAGCCTAGGAGTTAGAGACCAGCCTGGCCAACATGGTGAAACCCTCTCTCACTAAAAAATTAGCCAGGCATGGCAGCACATGCCTGTAATTTCAGCTACTTGAGTAGCTGAGGCACAAGAAATACTTGAATCCAAGAAGTGGAGGTTGCAGTAAGC